TTTTTTAACCCTTTAATACACATCGTTGAATCGCAATATCTTTGCAGTAAAAGTAGTAATATATATTTACATTTCCTTAAAAAGACAAGTTTTTTTGCGGTTTTGCTTCAAATTACCAAAACTTGTAGAATTTGACTTGTGGAGGGTTTTTTAATCAATTCAATTCGGTTCTTTTTTTTTTTTTTTTTTCGATGTTCGTTTCTTACGAGCCCTCATTACAAAAACAAGGTTTTCTGTGCTTGACCAAACTTAACTTTACAACAGAAAAATATTGGTTAGATCCAAAGAAAACCCCCGGGGGCACCGGTCGACCAGTTATATAATACAAATATGAAGTAAAGCAATATCCTATTAGTTGATACTCATCTTTTGAGATTTTGCAATACACTGAGGTGAAAAATTGTTAAAAATATGTCAATTTTAAATTAGTTCTTGATAAAAATGAATGCTCTCTGTAAAACTGAATATTGCACATTTGCAATGATGAAAAATTAAAATCCATCATAACAAATAGACTTGTATTGCATACGCACCTAATTTTCCCACTAATTCTCGCGTCCCGTGAAACCCAGTACAGAATGAAGGCATTCGGAGTTGGCATGCTTTTGAAGTAGCCTTCAAGTACAATACATCAACTGAGGCAAATAGTTTACATGCCAGAAAAAAAAAGGCACACACAAAAACTTACCCTTTACGGATGCCATGAGTGCTCATTGAAAATTGTCATTTTAATGTAAACTGATACAATAAATCTTGTAAGTCAGGGATGTCCAGCTTCCAAGGCCTCACGGGCTACACTTAAAAACTTTACGATCACTGCGGGCCATATTCTCATTACTCGCCCCCCCCCCGATCCTCGCGTGTTCTTCAACTCGGCACTTCGCTCAGCTGTTGTGATATGGGAGGGTGACGAACAATGCGTTATATGAAGCCGTACCATGCATAAAGCAGTGAAACACATTGGGATGATTTTGATTTTAAAAATTCATTAGAAAAAGTTCTTAAATCGCAAGTTAACCAATTTTTACAGTGAGGAGGTATTGACCCCAACAGGGCGCACGCGTGAGGCACATGTGCTCGCCCAACGTGGACGAAAGGGACCTACACTTCGACTAACTACCTTTCGCGGGCGCCAGTGGCACAACCCCGCTAGAAGTGGTTAAGAGACCTTGTGCAAGTTAGATGATTATTCACGAGTGCATAATTACTAACAAGCACGAAATAATTTTTATATTGTCTGTTTCATCTTCTTCGATTGCCTTCTTAACATTTTGATATATTTTCTAAATGTAGTCTTTGCCAATATATTAACTTCAGCAGTCATTGATTTCGGATATAACGAGCCATTTTCTTAAAAGGAAGATTACATAGAATATAATAAACCATTAAATCTACTTAGATTACATAAATAAACAAATAAGATGATCGAATAAGTTTTAGATTTTCCTAATTTTTAAAAATACAATTGCATAATATTAACAGGAATCGAAATTTTGAATAACCATGTTTTTTAGTGAACAAAAACTGTCAGTTATATGTGAATTAATTAATCTTTAATCTGGGTAATAAATTAATATTTTTGTTCATTCTTGAAACCAAACAATATAATTTAAAAAATTCTCGATAAATGAAAGTTCTGTTTAATACTTTTGAATTTGAATGTTGAAACAATATGTATTTGAATTTTCACAAATAAATGGGGCACATTTCTCTCCAAGGTCGAATATGAATTCAAATTTTGACTTTTGAATATTTCCCATTGAATGTTGATAAAGCACAAGGTCTAAACATTTTGGTAAGTCAAGAAATAAAGAGCTTGCACTACAAAAAAAGTGTACAAAACTACCTTGCGATTGTAACACTACACATTGGAAAAAATTCAGCGCGTCTTATCAATATGATACTGATCGCAAAACCAACTACATAAAAAATTACCAACAGTGAACCTAACATCTGGTCCTTTCTAAAATAATTTATTTCTACTTCAAAATAAAGTACTTAGAGGAGAATGTTTAAAAAATAATGCAGTTTCCGAAGAAAAAACTCCACATTGGGCATTGACACGAACCAGCAACAACTAGATAACTAATCTAGATGGTGTTGCACGAACCCAGTTGTGAAGCGTCAATGGTGCCTTAAGTGTTCGGTTCGTAATGAAATAAGTTGAACAGACAGCCATATTTCATATATAGAGAAATAACAGCTATTTCATGTTGATCGCATACGCCGGATCATGGTCATGGAACAGGACATGCTTAGCTAAGCGTACACTCACCTTTAAAGTGTGGTTACGGAGTTTGAGTCTCTGTCATTCGCATGATCTCCAGGAAGTGAGCAAGTTTCTTCACGCGAGTGAATATTAATAACCTGAAACTTACGTAGAGTAGACGCTGCGCTACACGTGTTCATATATGACGATCCGGCCCAGGTGATGAACACGAAACATCCTTGCGCTGTCCAACACATTTTATGACAATATACATTTTTAATAATTGAAACGCACCATTCTCATTTGGACTACGAAACAAGAGTGCCCTCGAACCCGCAACTTGTTCCTTTCATCCATCGTTCTCGCAGAATACTTTATTCATTGCGACAAAGATCCAGATTTGTTCAGCTTTCAATATTTGTTGAACTTTGGAAACGATTCTTTCAGTATTTCTTACTGGTAATATACACCACGTTTTCCTGTGCCCCGGAATATCTACAGCCCACTCCTTTACTAACATCGGTTGAATAAGAACGTTAGCGACGAGCGTTGTTGACAAAATTTAATTACCAAAATATTCGCTGTGTGAAATTTCCAATGTGTCTGCAATATTTTGCAAACCAACGACTTGGGCCTTATAAGAATTTGCGATGACAAGTTTTTAGCAGCACTTAGCATAAACCATTTAACTTGACATATAAACTTAATTTAATGGCTAGATATTTGATATGGCTGTAAAATTAAACTTGAAAAACGGTTTAATTTGAAATATTAGAGATAGTATAATTTTCTCCATTGCTCTTACTTATTACAAATGTTACAAGTTAACTTAAGGATCAACTATAATTTCAGAAAGAACAAAGGATATTTTTAGAAACATTAATGGAGAAATATCAAAATTAGCCAACAAAATCATTAAAATTGCAGAAAATTAAGTTTTCAGAATTGAAGTAGTTAGTCATGATTAATATCAATGAAGATTCTTATAATTTACGAATGGTCATCTTGAATTGGGGTAAAAACAAAATAGATTGTAAAAAGTAATATACAATATACAAATACTGCTATAATTTCACACCTTCAAATGTACAGGATATGTTCCAACACTGGGTGCGAGATTTATTGTATAAATTTGTTAATCAACTGATTTACATTGTGAAATTAAAAAAAAAAAAAAAAATCAGTTGCACAAGAATAAAACCCCTCTAACAAAAATATTTCAACACTGGTCTGGATCAGTTTATGCATTCTCATTCTTCAAATTTCAAAACAGTATTTTGTATCCCACACACGTACACACAGAAATAAAGATAAAACAAACATAAAATTGAAAATATTACAAAACTATGCACAAAGACATTTCTTCTGCAAACTTGCCAATGGTTTCTCACTGGTCCTGATGGCAATTAACTGACACACACAAAATAAAAATCAATATAAGAGCTAAAATTATACAAGATTGCTTTGGTAAACAAAAGATAAAAGAATACAGTATGCAAACATTTAACACCATAAAGCTGAGGTTCCCTTATTAGTTACCACTGATTCTAGGTTTGCTTTTCCACACTGCTCTTTAAATAATAAAAATGCTCACCGGTCACTCTGATCCACAAAGGAAAACCATTATTACATTAACCTTGATACATGAAGGTAGCACTTCTTAATGCCAAGCAGTTATTTTGAATCATTACAAATTTAAAATTTGATCCAGACACATTAATCAAGTTCAATTGTCACTAAATAAAATCCTTAATTTCTACTTATAATTATTTCACTGTTAATAAGTTCCTAATGCAATGGATGACAGTTCGCCAAAGTCTAAAGTTGCTTAACAGCCACCTTTAATAATATTCATTGAGTGCATTACGAAGTTTGATCTTAAAAATTTACTGACTTCATGCTTTATAGAACACAAAAGTAAATTTTGAAATTTACCTACAGCAGATGTTCCAAAAATAACTCCAGATGTCACTGCTGATAATAAAAACTGTATTCTGTGCTCATTGCCCTAAAGATTGATCGACATAAACTGCCATGCACTTCCACAGCACACTTATACCAGGCAATGCAAGAAGCCATGCCAACAGGAAGGGCCCAGCAAGCTACTTTCACTCATTAAGGTGTACGACAACCCTCTGTAATAAATATATATTCAAAGGCTATTTAAGTTGTCCAATTCCGAAAAATAACCCCACATTGCTCTTTTGAGTATCTGACAAAAAGAAATTGACTTTTGTAGCCATGAATATATGAATCTCAACTACCTTTCCACACATATAAAAAAAAATGGGAATAGAATAAATTCTGTTTTTAAAATTGAACTGTAGTTAAGGCCTAAAATTACTGAAACATTATTTCAAATTTTTGCACTTTTGGGATGTCACAGACCTTAATGCCCACTTATTAGCACTTCAACTATAAGCATCCATAAGTCAGTAGTCAGATGAGAAAAATGTTGACTCTCTGTCCAGTCAAATTTAATACAAAGTAAGAAACTAGAATTTTGCAATTTATTTCTGAAATAGCCATTAAAATAGTTTGTTGTTCTGGTTTTGCAAAACAGCATTACTTATTTTATGTACCACTCTTAAAATCAGTTTGCAAAACATTAAGATACGGTTTCGTGAAAGAAAAAATTATTACAATGGAAACAGCTCAATATAATGGCTGTTTCATTGTAATTCTAGCAGTTCAAAGTTTTTGTTCAACAGAAGCACATTGAATATTTTTCAAATACCATTGACCTAAATTACAGTGTCTAAGATAGTAGAAGCACCTCAACAGTATTTACATTATAAAGAATACTAGCTAAAATTAAAAATAAAATAAAAAAACAATTCTTACAGTTTTGTGCTACTAAATTATACAGAATTTTGCAGCTACATAGATAGTACTGAACATCATTCAACACAATATTGAAAAAATGTATCCTTCAAATTCTGAGATGAGGTGATAAGAACTAACATTCATTAATGTTGAATTTTCCACTAAAAGGAAATGCGTGTATATTTATAAGCATACCATAACACACACACAATGGTAATATTGATAAACGCAAGAAAAAACGAAAATATGCTATTTCAGTTGGTGGAATCAAATTTCCTCCAATATGTAATCCTTACAACCAATGTTGAAAAACTGTGTTTCAACAAACATAAGATGTTTAAAACTCAACTTATGGGTGCATGCCATTCTGTACCACAAATATATCTCAAACAGCAGAAATAAACCGCTATCTAACATCCTATGAAGTACACAATCGATCTGAAAAAACATGCCTGCAACACAGTAAAACTCTCATAAAGAGCAACAATAAATACTGACAAAAAGCATCCATACACCAATGCTTCACAACATTCACCACCATGGAAGTTTTGTACCTGTTTTAAAACATCAAGTGTCTTTCTTCTTTTATTAAAAAATTGGCATAAGAACTACAGTTGGTACATTAGAACACAAATAGCTTTATACAACATTGAATTACATAGCATCTATTCCACAGTTTATTGTCCCTGGTCATAACCAAGAATATTCATAACTTTTTCACGTGATGGCAATCCCACTAATCAAACTTTTTCAGTCTGAATCTGAAACACTTGATGATGAGTCACCAGAGTTCTTGCTATCACCATCATTTGATTCACTGGAATCACTAGAGCCGCTCTCACTGTCAGAAGAAGAATCATCTGATCCAGATTCCTGCAATTTGACATCCAACAGAATTAATTGAAAGAAGACTACCTCAAAATAAAATTTACGTCATTAATGTATTAAAATTTGTTAATAATGTTTTAAGCTCCAGGGAATGTAGTAACAATTTTTTAATTTTGTACACTTAGATTAAAGATAATATTACAATGCTTCAAAAAAATAATGTTGAGATATTAATAGACAAAAATTTTTGGTGTGCGATACTGAAAAATATGTTTATTTTTCAAAAATTCTGTGCCAGAGGATGACAGACTTTTCACTGGATTTGCTCTAAAATGGGTATTCCATAATAGATCTGGTAATACTTAAGACCCTGCAAATATTAAACATTTTCATTTTTGGGGGTAATTTCAAATTAAGATCTTCAGATGTCAAACAGAATTACAGAACATGAACTTGCAGACTTAGATGTGGTGTCCATGTTTCCTAACATAATTCTGGTTTAGAACAGTTATTACATCTATTAAGTAAATTATAATTTCCCCTTTATAGAATTTTTAATGTACTTAAATGCATATTGTTGAAACTGAATTTTGCCATCTGCAATAGATCATCAAATCACTAAGACCCCCTATTGGAAGATCCTAGAATTTTTTCTTCTTTCTTTTTCCTTTTTAAATAGTGATAAGCTTTTATTGGAAGAGGTATGTAAATAATTTATTACTATATATAAAGTTGGTATTAACAATTTTCTCATTGGTTTCAACTTTCCTAGGCAACTACACAAATTAACCTTGAAATAAACCGTTTCTAACAAAGAATCCCAGTTCACAATTCCTGAATAAACCCAGCATATTGTCTTATTGCAACTGCTGTAAGAAAAACCCTGCTTTTACATTCACCTCCTCATTCCAGCTCCTTCAACTCCTGTATGCTCACAACATAAAACTGTTCCTGCTTTTATATTTTCGAAATTAAAATACATTTTTACACTTTCTCCACCCTAGCTGCATAAACACAAAGATGGATACGATGACTAATGATCTTGAATGTTCCCACCAAGCCCAAGAAATATTAGATAGTTTATGGTTACGAAAAGTCAGAATTATTCAATATTGATATGAGCTAGGTGTTATCATTTTCAATTCTATTTTTGAAATAAGTGCAAAATTATTAAAGTGTTGCAGGTCGTGTTCACTTTAGAAATGTTTTGCATACTACCAATGCATCACCAGAAATGTGCGACTATAAATGTGCATTTCACCTTCAGTTGCACTATTATCTTTATTTGTAATAATGCAGGGAGACCACAATTCTGCAACAACTCCCCCCATCCTTAAACAATTTTCTCTATTCTTTTGTTTCTTTATCAAACCATTAGCAGAACCCAGCAGACGTCATGAGCTCTCTCCCCATCCTGCTGCCCCTCTCTTACTCTCTGCCCCATTGGATTGGGAGCACTATCTAGTGGAGTTATAACAAAAGGAACAAAAACCTCCATGTAAAAATACAAAGACGTGTCAACTTTCTTGGAGATCGATCAAACGGTATCATTCGACAGTGGTGTAGTTCATCGATCTGATACATAACATCCATTTTTATACAGAGATTATCATGAAGCCATCACAAAGTGAGTGCCATTATTACCATGCTATTTCCCTTTCTCTCTCTCACTCTCTCTCTCTCTTCTGATTACTTGGTAATTACTATTATTTTGACCTTCTTTCTGGGTACAGTAGCATTTTTATTTGTGTATGATTTTAAAAATGTTTGTGTTCGTTTGATCACAACAGATTCAATTACAGTCTTTTTGTAGGGGATTAGAAAACTGCAGAATTAGTGTTTTTAGAAGTAAGAGCCAAAGAATATTTTTGCCAATGTTTAGTCCAATGACTTTTTTAAAATTAAAGGTTAATAATATTAATAAATGTACAGAATTAATATTCTGTATTTTATTCTATAAGCAGAATTTCCCAGTATTTTCTCCATTTTTCGTCAGTCCCTTTAAAAGTGTAAAAGAGGGGTTTCACAATAATTCTTAATTCCTTTCTTGCTGCCATTTACACAATTGAGACAAAAGTTATGTAATGCTGCGGTAAAAAACTGAATTTTTGGGAGAAAAACTTTTTGCCAGGCCCTGGTAACAAAAAAGTGGATAAATCCAGTTGCTAAATTTAGAAAAAAATATTCGCTAACACACAATGTAGCAAGAATCCATGCTTTGTGGGTCCTTGATACTGAAAATCTATTGACTGCAAAAGTCCTTCACTCCATCCACGCTATTGGTTAAATCTTTCAGACAATATTCTTCAAATTTGATATTCCTCAATCAATCTGACTGATGTAGCGGCCCCTTGAATTTGAAACTGATATTCTAATTTTCAAACCACTAATAAAAAAATAAAAAATTTAAAATAAATAATTTTAAAACGCAACATTTTTTAATTAAACCATTATCCAAAACTTTGTTATTTAATAGTGTGAAGAATGTTTAAAAGAATGGTGCAGGTCCCTTGTTCATTGAAAATCCTAATTTTTCAAATATTGCAAGAGTTCAAAATTTTTTCAGCATCTTCCTACAACTAAAATATTGAAGATAGATATTTTTTCCATTAGTGAAATCTGTTCCTTAAAGAGAGATTTTGAAATAAGCTCATGCACATTTTTTTGGAAATTTAAGTATTTTTGTGCAATTTCATGTGAAATACACACGATTTTTAATTTCGTTTTAACAATTTTTTCTCATTAAACAGCACTAATAATTTTGATTAAATTTTGACCACAGATAGTTAACAGAATGCTGATGGGAATAGTGCAGGTCTCATTTTCGTTAAAATTTTTTATTTCGTTAAAAATTTTACAAAATTGCAAAAATTTCAAATATTTTGGGGCAAGCTTCCTTCTACAATTAAAAATATAAACATTTTTTTCTTAATAAAATGTGTTGATGAAAAAACAGTTCAAAAAATATCATGTACAATTTTTTGCAAATTAGTACTTTTTGTGAAATTTTGTGTTAAACATGGGTAATTTTTATTCCATTTTAACAATTTTTTCTAAAAAAAATAAAATAAAATAAAAGAATTTTTTGATTAAATATGGTCCTTTAAGTGCGTAAAAAAAATTTTTAAGAGAATGTTTCGGTTTCATATTAGTAAAAATGCCTGATGTTTTGAAAAATTACAAAAGTGTTTTGCATCTTCCTACAACTACATTTTTGATGATATAATTTTGTTTCTTAGAGATATGTTTTTGTCAAAAACCGATCATCTAATGTCATGTAGAATTTTTCAAAAATATGAGTATTTTTTGTTTAATTTGGCATGACACATAATAAACTTGAATTTTCTATACTCCGTGGACGTAATTTGTGAGGCATTTGGAGACAGTTAGATACCATGCAAGTTACAATTTGCATATTTCATAATTCTTTGTTCATTTCTTACATTCAAGCTTTTGTTATATATTTACAAATTAATGTTTTAGAAATTATTTAAACACTTTCTGATAAATCATATTTTTTGTCTGTTTTGCGAGGAATGTATTTGCATTTTCAATGTATTGATGCATTTTCTTTCAAGCAATCCGCAAACCTTAATTAAAAATCAGCCCAATTAGGATTTACTTTTTTTAAATACAATTAAAATGTAATAGGAAAGAAAACTTGCTAGCCTTCAGGAATATCAGATTGGAATGCAACAATGGCATTCATTCTGCACTGCGAGAAGCAGTTATAATTGTCAAATGTGTGTTGATAATTGCTTGAAAATATTAAATTTTTCTACCAAATGTTCTATAATTTGTAATGAGTCTTACAGAATATTTTGACTGAGATGTGTTAATTCAGAGAGAAATTGTAGTATAAATAGTATTGCATTATATAGGGTGTTAAAGTAAGAGCTGTTTTAGCACCACTAGTTTGCCATAACAGTAGACCCATACAAAATTAAAGCATTCTTAATCTTAACATAAACTAAAAGTATTATCACTCTTCTGACCTGATCCTCCTCTTCTTCATCATCATCCTCGTCATCACTATCGTCACTACTACTGCTGTCATCATCTTTGGCCGAACCATCTGAGACATCAGCATGTTCTTTCTTAGAACTTTCTTTTCTTGCAGAATATTCCTTCAGTTCTTCTTGCGACAGGCTCTACAGAATATAAGACAGAGTCTCAATTGCAAATAAAAGATTTGAATACACAAGATAAATAAATTGAACTTAATATAAGGAGCACCATGTACATACAAAGAACACAAAAAAAGAATAAAAATCATTGTTTAAATAAAATTACATTTAGAAATTTCTCATAATCTTGAATGTATTTTGTCTTTATTTCAGAGAGCTTTTTACGGTATTTTGCTTTATCAGCATCTGGCAACATTTGCCACAATTTAGGAGCTTCTTTTTCTGAGTAACTTTGACTTTTGTCTTGAAGCAATGCCTTAACGAAAAGATGATACTCATTCCTGAAACAACAAAATTCAAAATTAAGTATGACGTAAAGCAGCAGAAATATTTTTACTTCCTTAAATAGAACAGAATACCTTGGTGGAGGTTCTGGTTCTCCTTTATACAATCCAGAAGTTTCATTCTTTGGATGCTTACTACTTTTTGTTCTTGTGGGCTAAAACAACAAAATAATAAATAGTAAAAATGTCAAGCTCAGAACACACCTCTCAGCTTTTACATTTCACATTCAAAATTATGAAAAATTCTCTACATTAGAACTTTTCTTGAACTCTCCATTCAGTTTTCATTCAAAAACACTCAAAATTTAAAATTGTACTAAAAAATATTTCACCCAAAATGAATCATAAATACTTCTTTTCAGAAGACAAACTACAATATTTGTTTTTTCTAAAATAAAGTTTGAAAATCATACTTGGTAGACCAATCATAATTATATAAGTTATATTATTTAGTATTTAACTAATTGAGTGAGGATATCAAATATATTAGTTGTATGTCTAGTAACAAGACAAATAGAATCAGAGAAATTTTGATAGACCACTATTTATGACATTTTTTGTATTTTTCATTAATGTTGTCTAACAAGTCAGTTTTCACCTTTTTCTGTCACTTTAAAGTATTTTCGTTGATTTCTTGGATTTTAATATAATTTTAATGGAGCTTGCTTGAAATAATGTTTACAAGAGGCCAAAAATGTTCTCCACAGACTTCCTTATTGACCTGTTCGATTTCTTCGCTCAGAAATTGTAAGGTCAGTCGTGAGTATGTAATGTCAGGTCCCTGTGACTCCTATCACCCCCATGGTCGGTTCGGCCAATTTCGTGATAACCAACAGATTTCCTGGTAAAGAAATCCAGTCCAAACCAAAAGTTTGCACTTTAACGAAAGGAGGAAGCCTCGATTACATCGGTGTAACATATCCAACAGCTTGAGTTCTTCATCCAAAGTGATCAATGTTTTAGGTCATCACAATCTGCCCCATACTTATAAGTATGTGTTCATTTATTTATTTTCGGATTTACTTGTGCTTTTTTAAAAGAAATTAATACAACACATTTGAACAATTTGAGCGATTGAACACACCTACAAGCTGGAAGTTCTTCCTCAGTGGACAGTTTATAACTATTTTATATACAAATCTATTAATAAAACTGAATTAAATTGAATAAAGAGTGTCCCAGGAGGAAATCTCAATCTTTTGAGAGGCCACTGTATAAGTCATCTACACACAAAGTTTACATGAACATGTGTCCTATTCTGAAGGGTTTTTGAGATGTAGCCATTTGAATGTTCAGTATTTTGGATATGATGTACAATAATGTTCTTTAGTCCTGCATGCTGGGTCACTTCCTGAAACCTCTTACTTCATGAAATCAGTTGTCAGTAATGATTGTTGATGCAACATCATGGGTGTATTGTGCTAATGCAATCCATCTCCACAAATGAGTTCGCTTATACATTGTATGTTTGCTTTGTCTTTTGCTATGGTAATGCCACTGCTTCTGTAGAAAGATCCAGTTAATTGTTTCCCACGTGCAGACTGCTGGAGGAAAGTACTTTTGGCATAGTGTAAATGATATTTTGTGAATGTGGTACAATACTCTCATCTTTCGATGAGAACATCAACTTGTGGACGAAAAGGAAATTATTCTTCAACCCTACAAATAACAGAAAGACTTTCTGCTCGTCTCCATTTCTCATGAATACAAGTTTGGCAAACACTGAATAAGGCTTGTATCCAAATCACCCACAGTGTGAATATATTTCATGTGTCTACAATTTTCACACAAGTTATGCACTAATCACCAATTGCGTCCATTCATAGTAAACACTGATGAAGCTACTTTCACTATGGAACTTCAGGTTCCAATTCAACACGCAATGCACCTCAATTTCACGCAATTTGAAAAGTGCATTAGTATTGATTGTAGGATTTTTGAAAAGGTTTTATGGTATGTAAACAGTACCTTCTATGCCACTTGAAAAAATAATACCAATTCTGAAAATCAAGTTTAGAAAGTGAGTTGTAACTTGGAGACCCTTCAGAATAAAAAAAAAAAACTGATACTGCCACCTCCCAAAATATTAAGGTTTCCACCTGAACACTGATATAAAATTTAATCAATCTCAACCAATAGACTCTCTTTTATTTCTTGATATCCTATTTTTCAGCAATGGGAATTTCAAATCATACTTTTAGCAGAAAACAATTTTTCCTTTCCACATTAACCTGCCAGCAAAAAGGAAAGTCCAAATTATGGCTAAGTGGTTCATTAATTATTGTAATTTAATTTTTGTAAAATTATCTAATCCTTAGTAGCCAAAATAAGAACACTGTTTTAATGAGTAATTCTTATCCTGAAAATTTATTGCTCTAGGATGGTCAAGAGGTTTTTTGTTAGAAAATAGATGTGCTCTGGCAATCAACCACTTTCTCATTTGAGATTATAATTATTATTATTTTCTTTACAATCACCACCTTTTACTTACAATCAATTATTAATTATTTAGAATATGGTGAACCCTTGACACCCCTATGTCAAGTGAGGCTCAGCACTGGAACTGATGTTCCTTTCCTTTTCCTTGCCCCTATCACTCGACATCTAGAAGTTATCTTTCTCTTCTGACCTCAGAATTCATTCAAATTTCAACTGGATAAGACCAACTGAAGAAAACTCTTGGTAGAAGATTATTATGCCCATTGTATATAATTGTATGCCCATAATTTTATATTGTTGAACAGTTTGGTAGCCTTAACTGCCTTTGGTAGTCTTAACTAGATAATATATTGACCACATTGCTGCCTCATGCTATCGAATATGTCAGTGGGAACAGTGACATCACTGGAGGTGGTGAAGAGAGACAGGCATTTGCCTAGTTACAATAGCTGAATCGCTAGAGCACAACTAGCCAAAGGGGAACAAACTTGATTTCTGTTTCAGCTTCCAGAAATTTTGTGAAGAACAAGACACTAATTAACAGATTATCATGGACAAACAATAGAAAGGATGTTTATTGTCACACAATTATATGTAACATATTTCATTAGAACGTTTACTGCCAGTGTAGTTGTGATAATGTCAAACCAAACTTATTTTCATTATTTCTCAACAAAAATACCATATCTTGTGTTTTCCCAAACAAGGAACATTAACAATTCGCCAATGTAATGAGCGAGTCAAGGTTGCATATCAGTAGGAGTGAAACACAGAGCTGACTGGAACACATTAGAAGCACAAAAAGTTCGACTTCATATGTTTCCTTAGACCATTGTTGACAATAGTAAGATTTAATTAGATTGTTTAGATACAAAGATATCTCTTAATAGTAATGGAGATGGCATTTTGGCTTTTTCTACAAGCCATTAAAATATAAATTGCTAGAACAACATTAAAAATGAAGTTTTACCTTCTTCCCTTCAACAACCTCTGCCACTTTTGGTTTAACATTCTTTCTAGCTTTTGGCAGGTTACTCTGCAACTCCTCTTGACGTTTGTCTTCAGGAAGAGATTCAAGGTATGTAGCATATTCCAGTTTATATTGATCCAACATCTATACAAACAAAAAATAATTTAATTTTCGATTGTATATAAAAGCATTATTTATACAAGTATACATACTGTTCAAGATGCCAGTTTTCCATGGTGTGGAGGATCTCCTAGATAATTTATAATGACCTAAACTACAGTACTCACAGTGTATAAGCGACTGACAGTTCAATGCACTGTTGCCACACATTATTACGCACTTGACATCACCTATATCACAGATTAATTAAATCTCAAAACCTTAACTCTTACTCACAGGTTGACACTTCTTGATATCAGATTCATAACTTTTGTCAAAGCCGAACCTTATCACCTCCGCGACTTCATTCCAGTCAGATGAGCAGCAACGCTGAATCCTGGCTCTAAGAAAGTAAACAAATCCTCGCCAGCTGGTTGCTGCAGAGCAAGTCACATAATGCACCACAGCGAGAGAAATGTCAAAGTCACTAATACACTGCTAGTACTGAAAGTAAAGTTTGAGTCTAAAAGTTTAAGGAATTGGAAAAATGCACTGTGTGATCGTTCTTTCACAGATAAAACTAACTCCACTGAGTACCTGAAAAAACTCTACTCATTTTATTAAGTAATAAAATTTCATGACAGAACTTTCCACTCAAAAGCATGGCAAGTACTGGAAAAAGAATGTTAGCCATATCCATTGTATGCTGTAAAGAGAATATATTAAAAAATCAGCTGAATTATAACTTATTATTTAAATTACTTTCAGGTAGTCTTACATCAGAAGTGAGGAAAAAATAAAAGTTCGTGAACCATGAAATTGACTTACAGAGAAAAGGAAATATTTCTGAAAAAGAAAGAGCTAAAGTGCTCTAATGATTCCTCACACTGCTAAAAACTGTGCAATTTGCAACTTTTATCAATAATCAAGGTTCACATTTGAAGCGGCAACTATAATTGTAAACAACAAATCTTTTTTATAGTTTTTTAAGTCTGTAATGTTAAAATTAAGTAAAGTAAATAAAGATAAAATATTCCTAATTTTATCCAAGCCTCATAGAAAAAAAATCATATCTATTAAACTCTTCAAACTTATGCCCAAGAATTCTTGTAGAAACAGTAGAAGTCATAGTTGCATATTAACGATTTTTTAATATTATAATCAGTTCAAAGTAATTACCCAAAAACAGATATTGAGTTTTTAATCATATTTTGGAAGCATGCAATATTTTCTACTTATCGTATTTTCCCGAATATAAGACCAGGATGTTTCCTAAACACCTCATTATAAAAATACAAAGTTGTCTTGAGTTTGCAGATTCAGCCTAGTTGGTTAGAGTTTGTGTTTTTACATTCCCTTTCCATGTCACAAAACGCATAAATGTTGATATAACAATAAGCGTTATAGCGATAAAAATATAAGTGGTATAGAATACTTGATTATATTCACGAAAGCATCTTGGTTTCCCTCACAAACTTCCTAGGCAATTCACATTAATAGTTTTGAATGGGCCAATAAAGAATGTTCAATGGCGTAGTTTCAAGTGAAACACAACTTGAGAATGAAGTAAAAAAAAGGTCACCGATATTTTGTTAAACAACGATCAACAATGTCATGAGACTTCTTAGATGAATGTGACCATGAGAATCTGTGCTTGTACAAAATACAAAGGAACAAAAATCACTGCGTTGAAAGCAAGCAATCCAATCACAAAAACATTAAAAAAATTTTTTGAAAACCGAGATTCTGAGCAATTTTCTGGTATGAGCAGAGTGACGTTCCACCGGTTTCACTCCCCCACCCCCCCAACCCACCTCTAAGCATCACCAATCTAACACGAAGCAAAAAGAATATAAAGCTCTTAGGGATGGAAAGGCATGAAGTAAACAAAATAAGACAGAATTATGCCTATTCATTTCAGAAGTATCATACAATTCAACAATGTTTATATGGACCTCAGTTATAGGATAGCCATGTGAATAATGAGAACTGCTACTATATTGTGCACATCAAGGTGCACAATAAAAAAAAATTTCAGTGTGGCAGCGCAGCTCTTAACAGTCTTGCTCCGTGACTTCCCGTGTTAGCTTTCAAGCATGAAAATATTCCAAGGAATAATTTAAAGTTCAAGCAGCGAGTATCATACAAAAAGGACACTGCATTTCTGTTGCAACAACCACCCAGCCAACAACATGTTCCATTAGAATAACCACCAATGGCATTAAATTGAATCTTGACATCATCAAAAGTTAAATAGGCACAAACAAAAAAGTAAAACCAGAAAAGAAAAACGAAGGGGAGGGGGAAAAAGAATATGAAACAATTGAATGCCACAGTTAATATCCTTCTGTTCTACATGTAGCGTAATTTATGAACAAGTGAATATCACACTCCGCTCATAACCAGTAGATTGCTAGAGAACCCTCCCTAACTCCCCAAACTTGGAAACCTTTTGCCACATTACCTGCAAAACATAAGAATGGATACATAACAGTTGGCGGTTTGCAACTTGAGCACATGAACAATAAACTTTGCAAATTTTAGGGATATTTTATAAAAGAATGTGAAAAAAGGGTCAAAGACCATAAAAAGAGCAGGTCTGGAAGAAAATCTGGTGACAGAGAAGGAAATGTACGTAAGTGTCATCAGATCAACTATATCAACTATGCTTTAATTTTTTTTTAAAGTGGACATTGTCATCAGGTCATTTTTACATCTCTTGCCTTATAAAATAAATCTTTTTCACAGTGGCAAGCACATTTCTGAGGTCATGAGCCCTGTTAAGAAGGAAGGAAAAGGTCATCATTTTAATTTTAAAAAAGTCATTTTAAATGGCAGGAGGTATAACAATGACCTAATGTCATTGGTCATTTGAAAAAAATCGAAATATAAGAACAAAAATTTCAGAGTAGTAAAAAGTCAAAAGAGACCACACTGTAGGAAGAGGGCCAAAAAAGAAAGAAAAACAATGAGGCTTATAAAGATTAATTGGGTAGTGACAAAAGCCTTGATTAAAAGGATTTTTAAGGAACATGAAAATAGTGATAGCTCAGGCAGAAGTTTTAAGTACTCCAAGGAACATATATTTAAGAACATATATTTTAGTTAATAAAATATTTAAATAATAAATATTTTATAATGCAGTCAGCACATCAAAGGCAAATATAAAAAATATATATTAATAACAATACCAGTACATGTGTATTAGAAAATTAAAGGATTGCGAATAATGTAACCATAAACATTTTGTTATTATTATATATATATATATATATATATATATATATATATATTTTAACATTTTAAATCCTCAAAGTTTGAAAACCCACAATATTGATCAAAGTTCAATAGCATCCTCATTATTTAATAAGATGTGATAAATGTTTGACACCTCATCAAAACCTAACCAAAATATTTATCAAAAAATCGAAACCCAAAAATTTTATTAACCAAAACCAGAACGTAATAAGGAAATTTAATCTGTCTGCTATCAGAAGTTTCATGTGTTTTGAATCATTTTTAAACTGTGTTCATTCATTGTTAAAAATAACACACTGAGAATAACACAAGTGAAATTTGTAACAAATTAAGTAATAGTAATTAAACAGTTACATTAAAAAAATACATTACTTACATGATTCACTCGCTCTTGGTATTTCTTTTTCTGAGTATCTTGTAAATTTTTCCACATTCGAGATATCTCTATCATTCGCTGTTTTGGAGAGAAATCTTTCATATGATCACTGGCCAACATAAGTCGTGAAAAAAGGCTGTATCCAGAATTTGGAGGTTTCTCAGGCTTCCCTGCCACTCTAAAAATGAAATAAAAGGAAAGGCTAAGGAGCTTACAATTAGACAACATTACTATTCTTGTTATAGATCATTTGCATTTCTACTATTATTCCTGTTGTTGTTACTCCAATTAATTAATATTAATTATATATTATATCATTATTATTGTTATTATTATTATCATCGTCATTATTATAATCATGATTCAATTTTTCATTGTTATCAATTTAATTATACTAATAAATCAATATTTAACATTTACGACAAATAGAAGAAATATGTGCCAAAGTAAGTTCCCACTCTTTTACTGAAACTCTTTTCAAAATACACTGAAACCCCTGTTTTACACCGCACTAGAGACGTTTTTTTTTTTTTTTTTTTTTTGCACAGATTTTGTTTCAAAACACTTTGTCAATCTAAAAACAATAAACAATACATTCAAACTTCAATTGAAAAGAAATGATTCTTAGAAAAATAAATGTATTTGAAACTGCGAACAATCACTTCTTCACCCAGTCTAAAATTGACATTTGCTTTTTGTTTTCGAGCTGTTTTACAATGTAATTTGTTTTCTATGTCACAGCATTAAACCAACACACTTTTTTCTACATTAAATTGTGGAAAATATTTTCAAACAGTGTCAAGTGAAGGTACGAAGGTAACCTTTTCTTCCTCGTCAGACATTTCCTTCCCTTCAACAGTACATACTTGATATTGAATCAGGTTAACAGACTGAACCTCAGTTGTTAAATCATCATCCACAGTCACATAATCTTGGAAGTCACAGTCACTTGCCTTCAACAAGAGCCAGCCTTGCTTTCTGTGTGCTGTTAACATTAGAAGGCTCAATGTTTTCCATTTCACCTTCAATTTGAAACCTACATTTTTTAATCAATTCTGTACCGTTTCAGGAGATATTTGTCTCCAAGCGTCAGTGACAAAATGCAATGCTTGAATGGTTAATTCAATTGTTGAAGCATCTTTAAGGATCCCTCCTTTAATCATTGCTGGTGGCTGTAGAACAGTTTGGTGGCAAAAATATACCTTAAATTTCACAGCTCACTAGTTTCTTTTGGACAAGCAGCACAATGATCAATAAACAGGACAATTTTGTGATTCTTGGCACCCCATCTGCCTATATACTTGTGAAGGAAAGTCTTCAAAAATTCTCCCAGTCATCCAGGCTTATTGCTTTGCCATCCATTTGTTGGAATAGTTTAATGTTTTTAAACCATTGGGGATTCTGAAACTTACCCATAACTTACAGACAAAATTTTTTGCTTCAGTCAGCATTACATGCCAACAACATGGTGATTCTTTGTTTTGATTTAATGCCCCTTTAACCCTTGAATGATTAATAATATATTCAGTCACACTAGCGGGCACACATTGCACTCAATGCAACATAGCGATTTTTCCATTTTATGTGCACAAAGATAAAATCTCATTATATAACTATAGTATAATATTGTTTAGCTCATTTAGAATATCCGTATTTTATAACATTAAGAATTATCTTTTAATTTCTCTGATTAAGACAATTTATCTAAACCATGTATGTAATTACCAAATTGTAAACTCATCTGTCATCAAATTATGCTTTATACAGCATTAGAACATATACAGTGATAATAAAACTTGTCATTCTCTTTGCATGTGAACTGTCTCCACATTTGACACATGAGTGTTGTGGTATTCTTCACTCGGCTGCATGTCACACATTTGCCTAGTTTTTCGTTTGACTTGTGCTCTTCTATTGTCTTATCATAGCTACACTAACCAAGAACATATAGATACCCAAAAGAAATGAAGAAATTTTTGCTCTTCTAATTATGCGAGTTTCAAACAACAAAAATGCCAAATTGTGCAAACATTTTCAGCGGTCTTTTATGTTGTCATGCAGGTTGCCTTCAAGAGAACGAGTGCATTCTCACCTCCAACGTACAGTAATCTGAAGAAAAGACATTGGCCACCTGATAACCCTTGACATGAAATACCAATTGCACATTTGATCCTCAGAGTATCCACTCCTCCTTTTGTGGCATTATAATGCACTCTGTTGAATGGCTTTCTCAAATCAGTCTGTCAAGTTTGTCATGCATTGTTGAAAGAAGGACTACTGATCTACTTTTCTTTGGAACATACGAAACTAGAATAATAATATTCTGGTATCCAAAAGTAGATTTTTCTGTTTATGTTTTGTTAGGTAGAAATTCAGGAGGTACTTTTTTTTCACAGTCCCTACTATTGTCAAACCAATATCTAAGAACAGTTTTGACGAAGAATACTTGGGTAGTGATAGTCTTTTGTCACGTTACTGTTGGTCTTTCATATATTGGAAACTAGTCTCAAAGCAATAACATCCAGAAAATTTGACACTCAATAAGGGGTCCCATCCTGCTTTCCGCAGAGGACTCCCGCGTAGATTTCAATATCACAGCTTAGGAAATGGCTATTATTAGGTTGACAGAGATCGTTCTAACACTATTAGATGACTGAGACCCTGCTGTTGGAATATTTCCCATGGTCACCTCCATAATGTTCAGTTAAAATTCCTGAAAAGCAAAAATGTATGTGTGTTGCACTCTCTGCAACAATATGCCTGCTTGAGGGTTAAAAGCCAATGTTTTGTTAGGTTGGAGATTGAAGAACATACCAGTTTAGTCTGAATTTAAAATATTCATTTCTTAGCCCTCAGTTACCTGATGAATCTGCTGTTGCCAGTCTGAAACAGTAGCTGGATTCACACTTGCACATTCTCCAGAGGCAGTTTGGTAAATTATATTCTGATACCTAGAAGTCTTTCATTCCTAGGTGTGCTGTTATACATAGCGCTTTACACAGTTTCCAATTTTTTGCATTGGAGACATTTCATGATTTTAGCAACTTCGAAAACGTTTCGCATCTCACGTAACACTTTTGAAATTGCTCACGCTGTTCCACTATATAATTGAAAGTGGACACTTTCGCAGCAAGGTGTACGTGCTTCCCAACATGAGCATCAACTTCTAAAATATGTATTTTGCTGTTCTAAAATCCGTAACACTTAAGTAACTGTATGCCCACCACCCTTCCTGAAACTGACACAGTCATTGCTGCCTTTTCTTTCAGAATGTCCATCTAAATTAAAGAGTTCTGCGCAAAAATGTAAATATCTGGGTTTACAACACAAGAGGACATCACAAGTCATACTTAAAATTGATAAAAATATAAATCAGGAAAAGGTAAAATCAAGGAAGATTATACATTTACTTATACAAATCTTTTGTCAGGGCTACTCGATTATGACATAAATTCCAGGAAAACAAAATCAGTTTCACTTTATACAACACCTACGTTGCTTGTACAATTTTACTATGGTATAATTCACTCACATATACAGTATGGAATTGAAATTTGGGAGGTGCATGTAAGTGAAATATGGACAGAACGACACTACAGAAAAGGGCTGTTAGGCATTTTCAACTTACAACCTAGACAATCATGTAGAAGCTAATGTAGGAAAAATAACAATGAATGATGTAAAACAATATGTAAAATCTTCCAAGACTCCCATGAGTCCAGAGTATTGCAACAGAATGGAAATCAGCTAATATTACACCAGTTTTCAAAAAAGGTAGTAAGCTAGATCCCGCTAACTACAGGCCAATTAGCTTGACCAGTTCGATATGCAAAGTCTTTGAGTGGATTCTGGAGAACAAGATACTCAACTTTATTTTGAGAACTGGACGCATACCACTGCACCAACACTGCCTGATACCACGAAGATCTATAATTATTATCCTACTATTAATCTAACAGCAAGACTGGACAATGGATCTACACAATGGCAACCCTACAGAACCACAGAAGAAATAAAGGCTCGTGGTGTCATCCACCTAGTTGTTGGTTGTCCACATAATATAAAATAAATAATTCTTTTCAACATCAGCACAGAAACTAATTAATCAATACAAGATAACGAGTTAAGTTTTTTATGAAAATTACGAAGGTAATTACAGTTTTACATTTATAAAATGTGAGCTCTACCAATTTCCTCTATCTGTCTTCTAACAGCCTGATCTACGCAATGTAGTAGTTACAGTAAAAACTGCTTCAGTAATCTCAATTACTAATGTGCTTTAGAGGAACTCCGAGTTTGTAAACAATTATATAGTAACAGAATTTGCTAAATAGACACAATGTGGTATGTCATCTTGGCACATACACACACTAGTATTTTTTCAAGCAATTTCAAGTTTCCATCTCGTATCATGGTCCTCCTAGTTCCTCACTGGATGATAAATTCATAAAATATATGCTTGTAGACAACGAAGACTAGATGTCACAGAGGCAGCCCAAAACATTGAATATGAAGAATTTTTGAAGCTCATGAAATGCTTCACTAAATGTGAATGCTTCAACAAATCCACTTTCTTCCACCAATAAATAATGTTTATCCACAATGCATTAGATGCAGTTTATTTAACAAAATTTCATTAATGTTTCCTTCTACACAATTCAAAAATTGTACTTAAAAACATCTGAAGTCCTGGTAACAATTTTACATAAACAATGGAATGAAAGTTGTGTAATAAAGCGACATGTTAACACAAAATAAAATACTAGTTCACTAGAATATGTATGTTACCTCTCACGGAGTGTCTTCTCCTCTTTTGTTAGAACATTCTTAACATTGCCTGGAACAAACTCAGGATTTTGGGACATGTAAGCTTTGAGCTCTTCCTGGAAAGAAAAGAACATTATTCTAATGGCATTCATCTCCTTTTTTATAAACTTTACTAGAAGACAAATACAAAGAAAAAGCACTTTAAACTTACTGTGTATCGGGCCTCCTCTTCACAGGCCCAATTAATCCAAATCACCTTCTTTTTGTCTGGCATATTTTTCCACTGCTCTTTACATTTTTCAACAAAGCCACTTTTGTCAAAACCAGGATCATTCTTGTGTCGTTTCAATTTGTCCTCAAGAAATAGCTGAAATGAACAGTTGTTAAGTGAACTTCAAACCAAACAAAATAATAAAATCTTAGTCAATATTTCCAAAGAGAAAAGACAGACAGGAAGATACCACAGAAAAAAGGAGACCTGCACAGTCAGACAAAGACACATGCACGCAGATGTGCCCACAGGCAGGCAGACACACAGGTAAACCTGCAGAGAGAATGAAAAAAGAAGAAAAAATACATACCTTAAATGGTGGCAAAGGTTTCTTTGGACCAAGTACAGATCTTGAATCATGTTTTTCCTGTTTAGGAATAAGACCAGGATGTTCTTGGCTGAAAGAACATTGCAAGACATTGGAGCTCATTATCATCAAACATTTCAAATATTATTGAAAAATACATTAAACCCTTGTTATCACAAATTTCAAGGAACTCATATAATCAATGTTCATGTTACCAATTATTATAAATGTCTGCATTACAAGCTTTCCTTACCCGAACTCAAATTTTGTTTATGTTATGTTGAACGTCATGAGAAGCAAATTCATATTACCAAGAATTTAACGTACAAAATTAGTACTTAGAAATTGAAAAGCATATTTTCTTTTTAGTGAGCGAGAATTGTAATAACAAGGCAGCTGCAATGAATTTTTTTCTCAAATCAAACTGCATCATTTTTCTGAATATATTGTATCTTATAAACAACTGCTCTGAACAATTTTATATTGTTTAACAACTTTATGCTTTTTAGCATTAAAAAATTATTCGCTTTCATAAAAATAAATTGCAGTCTAGACCAACCATAAGATAGGACATTATTTATGGGACCACTGACTTACAGGACATGTAGACTTACTAGAATTGAATCATCTTTTCATCATATTCCTTCCTCTGGACAGCTGCCATGTCACTATATTTCTTCTTCTTTTTCTCAGGTAGTGCTTTATACATATCAGCTATGTACTTGGAGATCTCAGTCTTCATGCATATAAAAATATTAATAAATAGAAAAAAAAGGATCACACATTAATATTACATTCTCAAACAATACTCCCAACTTCACATAATTTTTAATTCCAAAATACTCAAATTTATGTTCAGATATAAATTTAGTTTTTAAACTTCCTAGTTTTAACATCTTTGTCTGAAGAAGTTAAATATTTCCACAATTAACAATGGAAAAATTACATTTTAATACACTGCTGAAGGGTGAACAAAAACAATTTGAATATTCTAAAAAATCTACTGTAAAATTTGCTGGCAATACTTTTCCTAGTGACAGCTCTACAAGAAAATAATACATACCATCTCAAGACCAGGATGTTCCTTTGCCACTTTGTCCTTTGTTGCTAAATAGAATAGCATGTAAGAAGAAAGAGGCCGCCGAGGCATGTCTGGATGTCTATTCTGTAACAAGCAAAGTAAAATACAAACAAATCCATGTAAGATACGTGTTGAGATGTATTTAATATATTTGGAAATAATTTTATGCAAGATTTATCTTTTTTTGTAGTTGTATCATTTGAGTTGTTCTATATTGCAACAATATAGAACAATTACTTTACAATATATACAATTACTTTAAAGACCACCAGATTTATTGTTGTATAATAATGCCAAATTAGCCCATAATTTTTCCTTTATCGTTTTCAAATCTAAATGCTTTTGTAATCTCTTTAAACATACCACTGTTGTTGCACATAAATTGATATTAAGCACTTTGAACAATCATGCTTTAGATAGTACACTGACAGACAATTGGCTGTGGAAGTATTGGGAAGTAAGTAAATATTCCAAAATAATAGTAAAAATTGTTGATGCACAGATATGTAAGAATGACTATGCAAATCCCCAAAAATTCTATTCAAATTTGTTGATGTCAAAGAGTTGACTCTTATAAACACCAAAGTTACAATGAAAAAACATTTATAGAAAATATAAAACACTATATATAGTGTCCCTTGTATCAGGAAATAAGGATTGGTTCAAAAAATTTCCACCTACAAGTGGAGTGAGATTCAAGAAAACAAATTTATTTTTATAAATTGTCAATTAATATTCAATATCTGAAGGAAAGCAACTAAATCACCCTAATGTATTTTCCTAGAGTCCTCGTTTGCAAAACAACCCCAAACTCTCACATAATGTCAATCACAGTGTATGGAAGGGAGAATCCAAATTTCAATACTTTTGGCAGTTTGTTTTGACAGGTTCATTTTGTAATGACAGTAGTTGAAATAAAATGAAATTAAATCATATATAATATTTGAATCAAATTAATTTGTGTATAAATTTGGACACAAAAAAATGACTAAAAGAATTAATGAGGTAAAAGTCAGGGAAAAGTTATGAACATACATCTAACATTAGCATCTCAAGAATTTCAACTGAAAGTACACAATTCGTAACGGTATTATAATGAAAGAATATAATACATTACATTGTAGAGAAATTTAATTGGCAGGTACATTCCAACTGCAGACATGTCAAATTAAGAATGATTTCAATAGAGTTCAGGTTTCTAAAACGTGTAGATAACATATGTTGAAATAATTAAATCTGTTCAATGAATTGGTTGCCCCAACCGGGACTCTAATCCGGGCCTTCTGGTTTAGGCCCAGCTGGAATTGCTTCCAACAAGGTGACAGGATGGTGACAATTATATAAATTGAAATAGCACTAGTCTGTTAGCTATATCTAGGGGGAATTCTATCATACAATATTAAACTTTCTGACAGAACAGAGTACAGAAAGAGTACTGTGATCAATCAGGAGGTTTACAAATAGAAGAAAAAATTCAATTTCAAGAAAAATTAAGTCATTTTTTGAACAAGGAAAACAAAAGTAAAATGTACCTGCTTCCGGCTCCTATAAAAGTGAGTCCATGGTTCTGCTGCCCATGCTTTCCCATCTTCAATTAATTCCCTCAATAATCTGAACTTTCGCACCCGTGCTTGCACTTTCATCCATGTGTCTTTGCACTCTTGTGCAGACCGACACCCAAAACTTACCTGAAAACAAATTATTGTGAATTAGTTAGTTATCACTTATTTCTTACCTATATTCATGTGTGGTCCATTCAGGCCCATAGATTATCTCAACACCGTCTAAAATAGTTGAACTGTAGACCACAATGCTCTGAAATTTGTTCTTCCTCCAGCCAGATGAGCCTAGTGCCAGCTGTTAATACCCTCAAGTGGCAGTTCAGGATGTGCAGTTTAGAGGTCAGGGATAATCTCCTAAGTGATTGACATTTTACTGATATGATCACTAAAACGAACATTGTAAGAATTCATACATATCATGTTGAAAACCACATGAGAATATATATGCCTGTGAATGAAGTTATCAAATGGATGCAAAGGCCACGCTGTATATACCCATTCTAAAGAACCTGAATATTTATCTTCATGAGACTTTTAATTAAACTCAGATTCGACTAAATTTTAATCACAGAATTATGCATGTAATTTTATAATAATATTTCTTGAAAAGAAATATTTCTGAAAAAGGAAGAGAATATTCTTTGCATTCTAGCCACATAAAAATACAAAATATTGCTTTCATGCAAAATTGTCCAGTTCAAGGAATGATAAAAATAATAACGAGTACAATGGCTCCAGCACAAGTTCGCCAACATTTGTGAAATGAATGCAAATAGTGTTCCTATGTTGTGAAATGTCGCAAATGGTTACACACTGACCACATCCCCATTAGGTTTGGCATCAATTAACAATTACTCGCATGACTGGAGAAAGAGTCGCTGAACACAAAATATATATAGTCACTTCCAAAGGAATAGATCTCGGTATCCTCTGCATTAGGGAGAAGATGATTAGGTCAAGGGCAGCAGGTAACAGTTAAGCCTATTGTAACAAAAGGTCTATTATGCAGTAGGTATAATATACCATAAGGTCTGTGAGACCAAAGGTACGATTGCACAGGTCTAATCGGTGCTATATTTTGAAGGTCTATTAGGTGTATCAGGTCCAATTTAAAGTTTCAGAAAAAAATCGACTCATCATCCCTCCAAGTGGAAACATTTGGAATCCTAAAAAGAGATTGGAGGAATAACAATATCATAGTGATGAGGAATTAGAGTTCCAATTTTGGATACATAAATACCAAAGAAGGGTGACCATACAACTGACAAGAACATCAGAACTGGTTTAACCAGCATTAGGTACAGCTATCTCAAAATAAATGTTATGAACTGAGGTTCATAACATTTATGTCTAATAAAGCTCAAAATTTAATTTAATTTAATTTGATTTGCTTTGGTGTGTTTTTGTGCTCAAGCTGATCTTAAAAAATCTTCCCAGAAATATGTATTACACCTCTCTTGTGGATGTAACGCTTTGAAGTACAACGGAATTCAGAACAGAATTGAAGATTACAAATTATCAGATCTAGTAAAAGTGATGGCTTTGCGTTTTATACTATTGAGATAAAGATTATAAGTGCAGCAGTCTGATAAGGCCTTTAGTGCTTTTAATGCACATAGGCACAAAGTCAATATCCGATTTGATCTTCAAAAAGATGTTACAAACCAAATAGAAGCATACTGAACATCATTAAAAACTTCACCAAATTTTATTTATGAAGAAGCTGAACAAAAGAGGTCTTAATGTGATTGCTGTGGATCTCCTGATGAGACATAAATGAGGCTACACATAACATTTTTATATGATACAAATTGAACAAAATTAGACAAACAAACAGATAAATTACTGTAAAATCAATGTTGGCTGAGGGCTGCAAATCCCAAAATACTTCAGTTTATGGATGTCCTGAGTTACAGAATTGAACTTAGCGGCAGCAATCTGATATTTAAGCTCTAACACGTTGAGAATATAACACAAGTAACACTCACGATAAGCTTGTGTTTCTAATGGGTATCAATCCAAATTATCTGACAAAAGTGGGTGGGTATCTTTTCCAAATTTGTCCATAACCAGTGACACAAAGATTTTCGGAAGGACAGTTAGAATTCATATGGATCTATAATTAATTATTTTATTCTTGCCACCAGACTTTAAGATAAGGTAGTATTAAGATTATTTCCTCTCACATGGAAAACATCCTTCATCCAAAGATTTATCAAATAAAAGTGAGAGAATAAACGCTTAGTTTTTTAAGAGGGATGGAATACCATCAGGCCTTTTCCTAGATTTAGAGTCGAAGTGTTCGATTTTGCATAATATATCCACAACACTTATTTCTACACCGCACAGTACCTGCAGTGGTTCATTATATTGATTAAACCCATAAATAAGCATGTTATTTGATTCATGAATGTAAAATGAAATACCATTTCCAATAGATTCAACATAAATACATATTAATGAATCCCAATGCAGAATTCTATGTAGACTTTTGTTCTTCCTTTGAATTAACATCTCTCCAAAAACCTCATGGAGCGTAGATGATATAATTAATTAAATTACTATTGAACATTGCAAAATCACTTTTGGTTAAACATTTAGTATGTACTATCAATTTACTGAACTCTGTAGAATATATCAGATTTATATAGTTCATAATTCAAGTGAGCTATTTTGAGTATGTGTGTGTGTGTGTGTGTGCACACGCATGTGTGCATGTATAGACATTATATAACCTGTCTAAGACGGAACCTGGATAAGGTGGAAAAATTACAAGTACACTGGATAATTCGGAAACCTGCCTAACATAGAAATGGAAAGCAATTTTTGGCAGGACTGTATTAAATATTCTAGGCTAGAAGGTTAATCATTGTTTTAAAATTAAGCACTGACGCGTAGGTGTGGAGCTCTGTTTGTCCATTCACTTTCTCAGCTACCCTTGTCCATTTTCCAACGCTACTTATTTGAATGACAACTGATAATTTGTAACATCTCTGACCTTCACAAGCCCATGTAAAAGAAGGAGAGATATGAAGTGCAATCCTTCCATAGTTCTTGTAATGCCTGCTTTAGGCTCAGTTGTTCTAATTGTTTACTATTCTTTTCTGTTCTGTTTGAAGTGTTGCATGTATTGTTCTAATCAAATGTTTATGACTTCCAGTGACAAATTGAAAATGGTAACTCTTGGTGACAAAATCAGACTAATTGAAGAACACAAAAGAGGATCGCTTCTATCAAAGCTTTGGTAAAGAAATTTGATGATAGGAAAACTTAAGTAAATGACAATTTTAACAGGTGGTTGTCACAATATTCACGAGGACTTTGGGAAATAGCCGAAGCTTAAATTATCAGATGAATTAATCTGTTCCTACAAATGTTGAAGAAAATAATATTTATTTTACTTTTACGAAGTTCTTTGTTTTATTAGACTGTGTTGCATTTCTGATTGTTTATGTAGTTTTTAAGCGAGATAAACTTTTTCATTTGAATTTTCATACAACCTATTCCATCTGAATGATTGCTTTTTGTGAATTGACAGTTGTTATTGCAAACCACTACAACACGGAAGAAAATGACAGACTCAATTCTCCAGTCCGACCTTGCTCTTTCTGACATCGCACTGTTCCCGCGTGTGAAAACGAAGCTGAGAGGAAAGCAATTTCTCAGTGAGAAGTACCTTCTGAGGGCTAGGGATAACTAGTGTGCCTTTCTCCCTGGTGAAATTTGGTTGGTGGGAAAACTGGTTTAGGGATGGTTTCAGAGGATGGAAAAGTGCAATGAATGTAGCGTAAATCATAACTTCACTCAAATTAGTATTAAATAGCATAAGAGTAGAAAAGCCCAGAAGGAAAATGGGAAACATTAAAACAGATGGTAAGGAAAGCAGCTGAGGAGGCAATCTACTGTAAGCAAACAAACAGAAAATGGTTGTGAACTTATGGTTGTGAATGATAAATTGAAAAACCTATTAATGGAAAAAAACAAATTTACAGAAGATTCTTACAAACAAAAAGCTAAGAGCCCAAGTACAAAGAATAACAAAAAAGACTAGAAGAGAAGACTAGGAGAAATTTGTAAAAGCACTGGACAGGGACATAACCAAACCACAAAGACAAGAGTTCAAAATACTGAAGAAATTAAATATGGAAAAGAGGGACAATATATGTACCAGCATAATACTCACAGAGTATGGAAGCAAAACTACAGTAAACTAAGGTATTATCAGGAAGAAGAAGAAGAAGAAGAAGAAGAAGAAGAAGAAGAAGAAGAAGAAGAAACAAAGATAAGAAAAATACGATAATATAAGAACAGGCAGAAATGGGTAATGCAAGGATAGAGATGGAAATAAAAATGGAGTAATTGAAGAGACTAACCATAACAAGAACAAACCAACAGAACTCTGGACCAGATAACTTCAATAAAATGTGCTGGGAGACAATTGGGAAAACTACTAAAAGTGATGAAATATGGATGATACAACACGAACAGGAATGGCAAATAGGAATTAACATGTGTAATAAACATACAAAAGAAAGGAGCAAACAATAAGTGTGAAAACTATAGAGGAATAACAATGCAACCAGCAACATACAAAATTTATGCAAGCATCCTGAAAAACAGGTTGACAGAATACAAGAAAACTATTACAGAAGAGGAACAGTGTGGTTTCAGGACAGGGAGAGGCACCGTATATACAGTTTTCACTATAGATAGATAATATGCAAAAGAAGAGAACAAAACCTACTATTCATAGATTATGAAAAAACTTATGGTGGAGTAAATAAGAACATGGTGTGGAATGTGCTAGAAGAAAACCGACTAATATTAATAAATGCAATAAAAAGTTTTTATAAGGAATCAAAATTCAAAATCCAGAATATTGATGGAAACTGCACAGAAGCAATCTGATAAGCATTGAACTACTGCAGGGCTGCACACTATCACCTCTAATCTTTAACATATACATGAATCATATAATAAAAATATGGATGCCTTAAACACACAACATTATTTGATATTCTGTTTTTTGCAACAAAATTTCTCATGTGTATTATTTATTCTTTCTGATGTAAGTAGTACTACTTCTATCTGACATGTACTACTTCTATCTGACATGTATTACTTATCCATTGTGAAGGATATTCCAGTGAATAAATAAAAACAGTACTAGTTTACAGTATAGCAATCATTCCCAGGACTGACTTACAGTCATTTCTGATAGAAATATTTCTTTATAACACCACACCTACAAACAAGCCACATCACTAGTGACGCATTGACCTCAACTGCATTTGACCGCCAATGCAGAGATGAAGTACAAAAAGATTTAAAGGCAGTTCAAGAATAGAACAGTATAACTTGGTAAAATATTGCTGAAAAGTAATTAAAACATTCAGGTCACCAAGAATTGTCAATGCTCAAAATATCCAGGGTTAACTATATACCATTTTAAAATGAAAAAAGTTTCAAAAGAATTTTTAAAAAAATTATTTTTTTAAAACTTACCATATCCCAGTCCAGTTTCTGTAGCCGTGATTGATATGTTAACATGTCACTGGCAGGAATGGCACGTTCCATTCTTTTCATCAATTCTAGCAAGTCATTTGGAGTCCAATCTGGGAAATCTGGAAATTCACAAATCATGAAACTAACTGAAATTGTTGGTATTAATGAAATAAATTGGAACTCCCATGTGTGCTGCACCAAGATGCTGTTGGAGAATTAATTATTAGTAACACACATTACTTCACCACACCTTTGTAAATTAAGAAGAGCAAGACTATTCTACACACTATTGAATTACATATTCTAGGGGAAATGCCAACAGGATAGTGGTTTATTAAGCAATTAGAGCAGTTTGTGAAATGAGACGAAGTCAAAAAATCGACATCACTCTCACCAATGTACCTTTCACTTTAAAATGTATCGCTAAATGTAATAAAATTAGCTTAATATCATTGTTTAGTCAAATGTTATGTAAAACCAACATTAACTATTGCTTATATGCATTTGAAAGTAAATGAATGCGATGGAAGAATATGAAAAGGCAAATACCTGGTTTATCTCATTCTAAGAATCTATTAAATTAGGGTATATTAGAATATTTTCTTTTTGAGTTCAAAGAAAATATTGAACCTTAACAAAATCACCACCAAGTTCATTAGGATTAAATTGTAGTTCCCATAATAGCACTAAAATATTATTTTGAAATATTTTTTATCAGTAAAAAACTAGGAATGTAGCTTACTTTACATTAATGTGATCTTCTACCCCCACCCCACCCCCCAGAACACCCATTGGAAGAAAAAATCATAACATATACTTCCGGATTTACAGCACATAATTGCAGTATACTTATGTCCACCTGTATAGAATCTTACGGAACAGTGCACTGAATCTCGCATTCAGTACAGAACTCTGAACAAAATTCAGTGTTACAATGCCTCTCTCTCTGGAACACTGAATTTTCTTTTTGTTTCTTTCCAAGTGAACAAGTCGCCTTTGTCATCAAACATGAGGCAGCAGGTTAAGAAAAAGTGTATTTCTGTATTTAAATGATACATAATAATCTTGACATAATGTAAACAAGTTGATGCAAGTACATCATGTAAGTGAATGCAAAAGAGAATATTATGTTATGATTTTTGCTATGAAACGTTTGGCAAGCATTTTGTGAACAAACAGAATTTTCATGCTTCTGTAGAAGATATTAGAATTCACAAATTGTATATTTTCTTTATATTGCTTTCCCACTATTTATACTAGTGTACAACTGAATCCACTTACAGTTCCACATCATTTACAATTGAATTCTGCAACAGCAGGCAATATCTACTTGGCCGTCCAGAAAAGGCGTAGTCTAAGCACAGATGCCTAGAACATGGCATCTGACAATGAAGTAAATACTGTCTCTTCAATGATTCTGAGCATCTCTTCAATAGTTGGTAGCAGAGCTTCGGATTTAAAAGTATATACTTTTTTAAAATTGTATGAGAAGCATTTTGCAATTTCATCTGGATCAGTTGTTATAGAATCTTTATTCAAAACAATCATATTGGGACCAATTTTACAGTTAGTTAGTCTATGAATTTAGGAGAAAAATCTTTTACCACCTTGAACAATTGAATCTCCAAGTTTTTGTTTATGCTGTCTCACATTACAGATGAGATTATTTGAATGCTTGTGTAGATCCAGCCTATATAACTGCTTCCACTGGCATTCTGCACTCAAGAACCGAATGTCTGCCTGTAAGAGCGGTGCAAGTAATTGAGGATAGTCAGCTTTGTGAGGGTGGGAAGTAGCTTGCTATTGCAGTGGGAACGACTCAGCATGTGAATTGAATACCTGGGCGTTTAATGCAACGATCCATGCTGTGAAATTATTTGCCCACTTTTTTAAATAGGTAATTCTTTTATTTCTAGCTACAAGGGCCTAAATTTACTGCACTGCATTTACTGTCTTCTTGGTACTGCTATATATCGACATATTTTCCATTTTTGATTTAGTTTAGTTTATGCTCGTTGTGACTGTTAAACAATTTTTAAAGCAGTAGCCTTTCTTAAAATATATTATTTTATTCCAACTTCCATATATTTGCAATTCAATAATTGATTTTTCACCAGAAAATATATAATCTCCAAATGATAACAAAACAAAGGAAATTATGTGAGTATATCTAAAGAAAATGTCCGATATCTTTAAACTAAGAGATATTTTAACTCTAAGATATTTATAAAGATTTAAGTTTTCACCAGTGAAGATTAATTCATGTTTTATGAATAACATTATGCTCATAAAATTCAATGAAAACATTTTTAAGTATATCGTTGTAAACTACTATGAATAAATAATGTTCATTAATTTGAAATTAGAAACATTATATACTCTTGTCAAAAATTAAGACAGAAAGTAATCATGCTTTTTTAAGAATATTTTTCTTTGCTTTGATAGAACTATCTTATTCAATTAAATGTAGTTGATAAAAAAAATTGTTATTAAATAAAAACTATTCAATGGTACAATTGTGTGTAGCACCACACTAAATTTGTGATTACATCATAGCAAAGCAAAGTACATTATAAGCCCAACAAGCAATTATAATGCTTGGAGTCCAAATCAAATATGGAAGTTAATTTACTTTAGGTTCATATTTCACAATGCAATCTATCAACAACAAACGTTTCCAATGTAATACAAAGTGCAATATTACTTTAACTGTAAGAAATATCCCATCACGTAATTACCCATTGCTACTTCATTCTCATTTATAATTCCCACTTCTATACTGCCTGGTTTTGCACTTTAATGGCTTGCACTAGGCTCCAAAGGTCAATGAAAAAGTAAGAAGTACTAAGTCCCAAGCAGGTCTGCTATAATTTGTGTAACTTTCATCTGTTCCAGCTCTATGATTTTTCCCATGCTTGACTTTTAAGACTTCCTTGTTTTATGGCATAACAATTAATTCAAGGCGTATTTAAAGTTGTTGTTCTAATGATACTTGGTTTTTTTTTTTTTTTTTTCAAAGATATATTAGATATATCACAGAAGTCGCCTAATTAATTTCAACATCATTACTTTCATCATCATTATTGTGTGTTTGGTAATGCATGATTTTCAGCCAAGTGTCTCACAATTGTTTAGTCCACTCAACAGAAATTCCATTTGGAGATATAACACTTATTCATAAAAAATTCAACATGTAAAGATGTGATAATTGACACAATCATTTTGATCAATGTTTGGTTTCGGGATCAGGGGTGTAATGATGTCTTCATCAATAGTTAATTCATTCATTAGAACTATATCTAGAATTGCAGGAATTTGATTTATTCTTTGTCTAGTAGGTTCAATGATCTCCCGAGTAAGATATAAGTCCATGTAGTGTTTAATAAAATCTCTTTCAATTTCAGTGCATGAGATAGCTCCAATTTTATTCCAAATAATCGTGGGGAAAAAATTTAAATCTCCAAAATCAATAACTGCTATCTGAGTAATGCAAACATTCATTTTCTCGAACAAGTTGAAATCAAATTGCTCAGGCAGATGTTGATAGCCTATATATTCTTCCTATAACATCTAGTGTGTTCCCATATTCAGTTTCAAACAAAGTGCTTCCACATCTGGATACTGGATTTCATACACATTTGTCACTTTCAGAGTTTTACTTGCAAACTTTAACTTCGTGTACATAATTAGTCTCCCTCCACGCCTATCCCAATGATAAGTGGATAAATGTGCAAACCAAGTACATGTATTAGGGAGTTAAGGATGTATGAGTTAGGTCCTGGTTCAATAATTACTTAGGTTGAATGGTGTTAACTTCCATCAGAAACTGGTCAAACTTTGGTAGCAGAGCGATGGTTGTGTCACATCTAAGTTGCTTCTTATCGCTTTTTGTCATTTCCCTTTCCATTTACTCTCCAGGAAACTCCCAGAATATACTTAATGACAAGGCTGGGTTTCATTCTTGTATGTTTTTTAGTTCTTCACTAACTTCTTTCAAGTCGCTTCTCCTTATTGGGGAAAAGGATTTTTTTTAGGCTTGAGTTCATGTGCAACTTTCCTATGATATTTCAGACTGCTTTTGGCAAAGGTCAAGTCTCAAGATTTATTTTGATGGGTCTTGATCAGGAATGGTCATCATCCAAATTCAATTTTCCCAGTCTGATAGTTGATAGTTATATTCAACATTATCCTTGGCTTATATATTCAGTTTTCTCAATACTTCTTTAAGGACTGCCAGGTCATGAGAGTTTCACGTTTCAGTTTCACGAGTTGATTCCTACAGGTCACAAAGAATTGCATTCCTCGAATGTAGTTTACGCTTTTCTTCCCTACAATGTTCACAAAACGAATGGTGTGGTTTGCTCCAGAAGTCTTCATATTTCGAAGTTCTGTTGATATCTTGTTTATTCATTTTGCTGAGGTTTCTGGTGAGAACTCAATCTTGTACATCTTTTCCCACGTTTCTTCTGAGCTTCCTAACAAGATTGAATAAGTCTTGAAATTGTTAAGTATTGGTTGCTGTATTTACTTATTGAGTTCGCAATTTTGTTATCATTCTTGGTACCTACAATGATCTATCACTAACTCCTTTATCTATCTCTGTTTTAAGAATTTTCAACAACTCTTGATTAGCAGTTATCTCACAGTTAGACAATCAGCAATTAAATACATCAGCATCGGGCTTTCCTTAAATCTCACAATCCTCAGTTCAGTTTAATTTCTTAGTTCAAGAAAAATGTCAATTTTTATAAATACTTTTCAAAAAAATAATACAATTCCTGGTTAAATAAAAATACAGGCAAGACAATTATTTACTTAATTTACATATTTTTAAATGAACAAGTAGAAATTCTACTTGTGTTTGAACATTCATGACACCACATTCCGATACAAGAGGTATGGGGAATGTACCCCATGCCACAAACCTATGCGAGGGATCAGGGAGGGCATCCGATCCATATACCTCTTATTCCAGCTCCTCCGCCACCTGGGCTGACTAGAAATGACAAGAAAGATCATTTTTTTACCAATTTTAATAGGTTTGTCAGTTCAGGGGGCCGTTGTCACTATCTGGCCCCTTTCTCTGCTAATTTGACTCATCAAGGATGGGTCTTTGTGATGAATCAAATGAAATTACTAATAGACCACTCTTCCCTGATATAATACAGGGAAAGTAGATGCAGCCCATGTCACAACTTGATCAAAGCCAATCAATTAGGTCTAGTAATTGGTAAATCAAGCAAAATAATTTAGTACCTAAAGATTTTGTTAGTAATGAGACCATAACATTTGAGTCTCATAAATCCAAATTGTAATATCTAAATATATAAATAGTACACAAACAGTCTCCACAACAGTGCAGCATGCCAAAAATCTGGTTTAAATGATGTCAAATCTTTTCAGTCATGTCTGGTACAAGCAGTGACAATGAGTTGGATATGTGGCCTCAGAATGGTACTCCAAGAAATGGGTAGTAGAGAAGAGGACACTCTTAGTACACTGACCAACACTCAGCAGTACATTGAGGGGTCACTGTAAACAAAGGCTATCCCAAAATAAAATTGTTAAAAAAAAAAAAAAAAATTAAAAAAAGAAACCATGGTGCAATCTGAACAATACATAATAATAATAATAATAATAATAATAATAATAATAATAATAATAATAATAATAACAACAATAATAATAACAACAATAACAACAATAATAGTAAAAATAAAATGAATGGAAATAAAAAACGGTTTAAAATTTAAAAAGGAGTTAAAACGTAGAAATACCCTGGATCAGAGGGAAATGGCACCATTTCAAAAGTCAATAGAGGAGAACAAACCATTTGGGTTTGTGCTGAATGAATTCTTTGCAAGGAAGCCATTTAGACAAGTGAATGATATTAAAGTATGTGATGGTTGGGGCTAAGTAATTTTTGACTTGACTATAACTACAAAGTAAGTCATCACACTGTATTATTTTGCATTTGAACGTGCAACTGTACATCGTATACTAATATGATTTACAACAGGTTTGAATGGGCACAATTAATTAAACTCAAAGAACTAAAATGAACCCAATGGTTAATATGTAATTTTGATAAAATTATATAAATATACTTTAGCATTTTTATATAAATATACCTAGCAAAATTTTCATTCTGTATTACTCAGCAGTTCAATCATATTGACATCCAACAGGAATTATTTTGAATGCATCTAAAATTTCTTGGCGGGGGATTCTCAATTTGAATGTTGTATGGATGGGTCACAGTTCATAAAATAAAGCTTGACTTGTTCAATAATCTTCTAATACATACGATGTGACTTGAGCAAGAGATGTTCCGTTTAAAGAATTCCCAACTGAAACTACTGCTACGCTTAAGACGTATCAAGTCTCAGCAATACACCAGCCCACACCACGGAGTGATATCACTCACCACTGCTACATTGATTATTTTCTGGGGCATCTTCCTCCTCTTGTTCTGGTTGTGCATCATCTTCCTGCTTGACTTTAGACTTTGTGGTGCTTCCACCGCCTCGTTTGGTGTTTTTGGTTGGGCAACCTGAAGTAAGTATTCTCTATGTTAAAAAAGTCTTGATATGTAATTATCAAACCCAAAATGGAAACTTTGTTTACTAAAACATTGAGTCTTAGCTACATAATTATTACGAGTTTTCAATTTATTTTTGCTGAAAATAAAAGAATCTATTGAAATTCTAAACCCACATGCAACGAACACTGTATTAATACAAAATAAATTGTTCCCATGTTTTCTACTAGTATCTTTTGAAGTCCATTCGTGATTTAGTTTCTGTTTAATATTATAAAGAATAATTATAATTTAATAAATTATATAAGAAATTTATTTCAAGGTATCAAGCCATTACTTTCTTTCTCTTAAAGACACAAACTGCTGACAACTACTCTCAATTTAGAGAAAATGCATACATTTTGATATGAACATTTTTGGATAGTTATTACAATTGACAATCACATAATGCTATACTCTGATCACATAATGCAAACGATTAATACTTATTTTATCACATTCACCACAAAATCAAAGAATTAAATATACAAAATTATTTTGCATACCCTGAAGAAACCTTGAAATACTAAATAGCTTTCTGAAAAAATTAAACCACAAATTTTGGTAAGTGACAGATATGAAAACTTCATTTAGAAAAAAAGTGCAAACAAGTTAATTTAAATATTTATGAAATAATGTTGCTTATCTAGATGAACTTTGATTATCTCAATATTGATTTTCTTTTGTAGAATTTGACAGACTCCTTTATTTCTAAGTAAACAAATACTACTTTCTATACATTTCAGAAAATCAAATTAAGATAAACCTCTTCCTTTACTACATTTTATCACAATAACTAACATCCTAAATTTAATACTTTCCAAAAAACATTCATAAACTTCAAATTTTTGTCTCAATTTCATATTAATGAGGATCAAATTCAATACACGTACAGCCAAATCACAAAGCTAAATTAGAATCATAATAATAATTAATAAATAAAATAAATTCCGAAATATGACATCTTGCACTTGTGTTTTTATCCCCACAACAATGTTTTTATTGTAGAAAGCCCATTGTAAGAGAAAGCACTAATGTGTATCAAAATGTCAAGCTGCCGGTGCATGTAACAAATCATCACTGAAATGCTAAATTTTTACAAATAAATGGAAAGAAAACAAACTAGCATTTCATTGTACTAAAAGAAATACACATCAGTATTCTCTCTTTTACATTATTATTTCGATTATAGAAGACTTTTTTTACAAGAAATTTGACATTCAAATTATGCTCTAGATATCCTTTAGGGAAAGTGCAATGTACTTTTACTTACCATCAGTTGCAACTGGTTTGCTGTCTGCATCCTCCTCTGTTTTGATTTTATTCTTAGCAGCGTTTCCTCCACCTCGTTTGGGAGTTTTTGACGTTGATACAGCACTTGTTCCACTGCTTGTCCCAGCAGCTTCTGAAGGTTTACTTTTCTTTGGAATTGTATCACTTGCTTCAATTGCAGGAGGAGGCCTTTTCTTTTTTGAAACCATTACGTCCTCAATAAATCACCAAAACAATACTTACGAGAACGCCACTTAATTATATCTGAAAAGGAGTGAAAATTGTGAATAACTAACGAGTTCTGAACGGATAAAATACAAAGAAAGTGTTTGGCACGGCCTTCATTCACTGCAGGTCACTTATCCTCCATTTATACAATGCAAAACATTATTTTCGGAAATTAAAATTCTCAAACATTAAATGTATGAACGTTCAAGCACGTGTACACAAACTGAAAACACATGGGTTGTAAAATGAACGCTGGCCTAGGACCTACATTATTACAAAATCTCGATAAAAAAAATCAAATTGTAACACACTTAATTCACGAACCTACCAACTGAAACTTCTTTGCCAGAAAGCGTAACACCCCCAACGCCACACAATACCCTACGCTTTGACCAACACAATCTCGCACCGCCACAGGCTACCCAACCAGATACCAACAGACACGGAGAGTATGGATACCAACCACCAACCAACCACCCGCCCACCTAACCAACCACCATAGTGTATGGGTTCGCGCGGCGAATCTGTGCACCAGGGCCCGGCAACTCTCCATCAAAATCGGGGACAAAGCTCGAGGTTGCTACTATAGGAAGCGCTAGTGTCGCCGGGTGCAGCTGCAGGTTAGGATCGCCAACTTTCCCACGTACAAATTGGCTAATTTGTGAGAAATACGAAAAGTGTCTTCTAAATGTACAGTTATTCATTATATATACTTATAAGAAACCTCTGAAGAAAGCGCGAACGTAGACGTTATCTTTTGTAACATTATGGGCCTGCTTGCGACCCGCGAACTCACTCAGCAGTCACGCACGTTTAAAGTATTGTTGGCAGCAGTTTCTGTTTTAGTTCCTGTAAAGAAGGTGATGCTGCAGAGCGCGCCACCGTAATGGTATCCACCACGTTATATGGGAGTTATAAGGCCCTGCTGTGCACTCAGTGACGTCACCGAAACGGGGATCGCCTACACTGAACACCGTCTCAAAGATATTGACTTCCTAGTTTTCGTTAGGCAGCCTCGTTGCAAAAAGAAAAACAATCAAATTTTGAGTGATATATCTATATACAAAGTTAAATTAGGAATCGACATTACCGCAGGAAATGTCTATTATATTCTAATGAACATGTTTATAAACTTTTAGGTTATATGCACGAATTGTGGAAAAGTAACCATTCTGCCAGTTTTATTTTGGCGTAAATGCCATTCTAAGAATATTTGAGTTGAAATGGCTTTTGATTTTGAAAACTATTTGTATTTCCTTAAAGTTAAAAGCAAAGGTTTTATTCATTTTCAATTATACTAATATTTTCTACCGGTAACAAGCTTCCTTTCTTTGCCTCTCTTCTTATTGGGAATCATGAAAGGAAGAGATTCAGTACTTCTCACAGTTCCCCTTTTTTCCCCTCCCCTTTCATATCGCACGAATGGAGAGGCCAGCTTCTTCAGCGAACCTTTCGTTTGCATTATGGACGAATTTTCCCGCACAAGCTTCTTTCTTCATGAAATTGACGTCTTTTTATGCTACTTCCCTCGTCTCCTGTAATTTCTTATTCCTTACTTTTATGCGATTGGGAGACACTGTTTAAAGAGTATTTCTTGTTTCCGGACGCGTCAACTGCTATGTTCATTAGACCCATTCGTGGAGTGTATGTTTGCATCATGGGAGGTGGTGCTGTTCTTATCACGCTGGATGATCAAATCCGGCGCCGACCTACACGTCGGCTTTCTCGTTTTGCCTCATTCAGGTATCTCCCACCTTCCCTCAAATAGGACAAGCATACCCACGAAATCTGTAATACAGTGCATGTAAGTGTATTGTAAGTGAGGTTAAGACAGGACAACGAACATAATGGCGCGAGCTCTGTGGCCTGCTTGCTAGGATATTGTTGCGGCATTTGTCTACGGTTGATAGGAGAAACCACGAAAAAACTTCCGTCAGCTGGCTGTATTCTCGAAACCATGCGCGTAATTACGAATACTTGATTTCCTCAAGCGTATTCCAAAATTTTTCATGCATTTGGCAACATTGGAAATCGAATTTATCTCTTCTCCCTTTAACCAAGAAGAACTACATTTCAGCACAGGCGATTTCTCTTTGGAGCCATTTTCCGTCTTCCACGAAATTCAAATTATCAACTTTGCGTTCAGCGTCACGTGCACGGGCGTATACATGTAGACACACATAATTTAAAGGAAATTCATACAGAAATTAATCTGTGTAAAAATAGTTATTACTATTGTAGTTATTATACGTGTTTTCTATTAGACAGTACTGTTTATTTACTTGTCAGAGAACATTGTTATATGTGTTTCCATTGTTATATGTGAAGATTTTAACATTGATTTTCTGGTCGAATCTTGCGAGAAAAAGAAGTTTCTCAATTTAATTCATCCCTTCAGTTTAGATATTACAATAAATGTTCCTACACGGATCACATTAAATTCAAAGAAGGCAATCGATCAAATAATAATTAACAAAACCACTACTCTATATGAAATTGAAACAAAAGATTTAGGATACAGCGATTACGATGCACGAATTCTTACCATTATACGAAATGCGAACACAGACACAATAAATAATACACGTATTAGTAGAATATTTACTAAAAGTAAAATAAAATTGTTCATCAATTACTTGCTGCAAGAGTCATGGAACGCGGTTTATAATACTGTTGATAAAAACAATAAATACATTTTTTTTCAATTTTTTAATTTCATTTTAACACTTGCTTTTCTCTTCAAAAGAGAAAATTAAATATTTCACGCAAAAGCAATTCTTGGATAACACAAGGGATTATGACATCATGTAAAAACAAACGAATTATTTCTTTCATGTCTAAGCATCATAACGTATCTCGAGGCTTCCTCCTCTACTTTAAAAAATACAAATCATTGTTAAGAAAAGTCATACGGCGGGCTAAAATCATGAAAAATGACCAGGATATTTTGAACTCAAATAATAAAATAAAAGCAATGTGGAATATAGTAAAAAAATCAACCATATCAACTAGAAAGATTGTAGAGAATGTTTTAAAAGATAACGACAGAAATGTGAACGATCCGGCAACAGTGGCTAGTCTCTTTCACAATACTTTTCAAGAATTGCCGCCGATCTTACTAAGGGTCTTCAGCCCCAAAATTCAGCATCAGACGTTTCCCTTAAAATTACAGGCACGATGTTTGTTTCCGAAACTTCTTCCTATGAGATTCTCAAAATAATCGGTAGACTAAAAATAAATATTCGGTCGGTTTAGATGAATTTCCGGATTGTTTGTTAAAGGTTTGCGCGCCCACCATTATACATCCGTTAACTCATATATTTAATGTATCCTTATGCACAGGAATTCGTCCAGATATTTTTAAAGCAGCTAAGATTAAACCGCTTTTCAAAAAACGGCATCAAAAATAAAATTCAAAAATATCGGCCTGTTTCTCTTTTGTCCGTTTTTTCAAAAATATTAGACACTTTGTTACGTACGAATGGAAACCTTTTTTTAGTAAATAGGACGCGTTTTCAGATTGCCAACACGGGTTTCCAAAATCAAAATCTACGGAAACAGCCATATTTTCTTTTCATAAAGGCGTTGCCTCATCTATGGATCAAAACGAAGCACCTATTGGAATATTTGTAGATCTTTCGAAAGCTTTTGACGTCATTGATCATAACATTTTACTCTCAAAATTACCTTCGTATGGAATTCGTGGGCTTGCTCTAGATTAGTTATGTCCGAACCTTAAATAACGATCTCAGAGAGTAGAAATACTTTACTGGAATAATGGAACTTTATGTACACACCTTTCTGATTCTTTGCCAATTGCATGTGGAGATCCGCAGGGATCGATTTTAGGCCCTATTCTCTTCCTACTGTACGTAAACGATATGCCCTCGACGAATAGTAACGAAAGAACAGTTCTCTTTGCAGACGATACGAATATCCTTTGCAACAAAGAAACCGTAAATAGTACTATATCAGATACTTCAAATTGGTTTCGTAATAACAAATGAATAGTAAATGATAAGGAAACTGCTTCAATGCCGTTCTCCATTTCAAATAAACAGCTCTACATTTCACTGAAAATGAACGACGTGCCATTGACTGATGTTAAGGTAACAAAATTTTCAGGTCTTTCAATTCAGTCAAACCTTAAATGGTAAGTCCATTTAAATGAATTGAACACCAAATTAAGTTCCTTATGCTATGCTTTCAGAATTCTTTCAAATTCAGTCAGCCTCCACACAGCTCGTTGTGTGTATTTCGCGAATGTTCATTCCCACCTGAGATATGGCATAATATTCAGGGGAAATACATCTTATAGCTTCCAGACTTATAGATTACAAAAAAAGAATTGTACGAATAATAAGAAAATCCCACCTACGAGATTATTGTGAGCCTCTCTTTATTAATCAGGGTATTTTACCATTACATTGTCTCATATTATACGAAGCAGTGGTTTTTGTCAAAAATTACTTACTTAAGGGCGGGAATGTATTTTCAGCAAACGCCGTAGTCTATAACTACAACATTCGACGTTGTAATCATATTCATCAGATAACAGCTCACTATAAAAAAAATTCACAAATAATACATGTACATTATTTTACACCACCTTGCCAGATGACATTAAACTATTGAATTCGATACAAAAGTTTAAGTCCCAAGTAAAATCTTTTCTGCTGTACAACTTTTTCTATACAATTAGAGACTACACCGAGCATCCAAAAGGAAAGTAATATTAATTTTAACAATGACATTTAATGTATTGTATATCATTTGGATTTATAATTGTAAAGAACGTGTAACAAGTATTGTACTTCAGCTTCTGGGTCAATGACCCCCATCTCGATCAGGTTTTCGTCCAGTTTCCCTGATCCTTGAACAAATGCTGAGATAGCCCCTTGTTTTTCTTCTGGACATAAATGTAACTTCAAATTAACTTCTTCCCACAGCACGTCACACAGTTTTTAACTGTTTTTGACGTAAATAAATAAAATAAATAAATAAACGAGAAAATGGCACTATGTCAATAGAATGACCATGCTAATCAGAAGTAAAAATGATAGCTCTGCAATTGCTGGAAAGCAGCTAGAGAGATCTGCGAAAGCAACAGCAGGTCTTTTTGAATAGGGTTACCATATTTCCATTATAGATAAAGAGGACATTTCTTATAAAAATGAGGACACTTCATATAAAAAGTTTTAATATAATAATTTGTTTTCTTCACGAAACAATACTTACTACTGACAAAACAAATACTGCAATTATTGTCATCACTCATAATCACACAAAAGGCTGACTCCGTTATCATTACTGTCTTTTCCATTTTTATATCAGAAGTAATTGGTGGATGATGAAATGTCTCTCAACAATTAGAAATTTTCTTTACTTTACTCTGAACATTGCAAGGAACGCTTTGAACTTTTTTAAATATACCATTAAAAATTATTTTCTTTTTGACATTCTACTCAAGAGCCACTTCCACTGGACAGCAGAATAGGATTAACACAGAGCACAGAATCTGTAACCAGCACCTGCTTTC